ACTTTTTTAATATTATAAAAAATTATAGTTGTTATAAGTTAAAATAAGCAATTTTAAAAAATTTATTATTAATTTTAAACTTTAAAAATATTTTATAATCAAATTACAGAATTGATTAAAAATAAATCAAATATTTAAGCAATTATAATTCAAAATTACAAATTTTATATTAAATTAATTAAAAATATGTTATATTTTTGTTTTAGCTTAGAAAAAGAGAGAATTAAGCTTATAAAAATTAGAAATAGATATATAAAAATAAGTTTAAAAAAATTTTAACAGGCAAATTTGTCTGCTGAATATTTAAAAAATAATAAAATTTTGGTTTATGATATAATTAATATTCCAACCAGATTAATTTCAATTTGTGATCTGATTTGGAATGTATATTTCAGATCAGATCAAATTTGATCTGAAATATTTTGATTCAATCTAAAAAATGTTATTTCTTATTCAATATTAATTGGAATTAAATAAAAATTTGTGAATATATATACAATTACATTCCAAATAACTATACTTAGACATGAAATACAAGTATCTTAGTAAAAATAAAAGTTATTAATGAAAAACCATTTTATAATTTTTGGATCAAACCTAATCTGAATCTGAAATTATCAATTCAATACTATTGTTTTATATTTAATCACATAATAATCAATGAGAATAAAGTTTGGATCAATCTGAAACTTTTCAGGTTGACTTGATCTGAAAAGTTTTGGATTGATCTGATCTGAAAGTTTCAAATTGACCTGATCAAAAAAGTTTCAGGTCAGCTCAGATTTTGGGTTAATCCGAATTAATCGGAGCAGATTAGATATTTACCGGATCGGGTTCAATTCTAACCCAAACCAAAAATTTTGGATCAGATCAGATTGTTCTCAAATCTGACCTGAACTGATCCGAACAGAGCTTTAGATGCAGGAACTCTTAACTTGACAAGATTTTTATGTTAAAAATTATATCAACATCTTAACTAAGAAGTAAATCCAAAACTTAACCAGAATATTATAGAAAAGGACTTTTTGAATAATATTACTACGGTAACACTATCGCTACAAGAATATATTGATTCAAAATAAAAGCATTAACAAGCAGAATCGCTTGAACAATATCTGCAACCCACAAACTTGCAATATCACATTAAGCTTTGATTTGCAGTGTAAATATTTGGTCCTGTAATAAAGCATTAGACGAACCAAGAGCTCATGAGAAAAATTTAATATTCATTATCATAATCCTCTTCATCAACCAGATCTATAGAGTCTGATACGTTATAAATATGTTGGGATAATGAATTAAAATTATTGTTTCCAATCCGCACAATCTACAAGTAAATATATTGCTCGACAATTTAAACTTGAACTCTAACGATTCATTATGATAACTCTACACCAATAAACTTGTCATTTCAACAGAATGCCGTTGATACTTTCATTCTCATTATCAAATCGGTTCTTGGAATAATTCGGATTAATCGATGAATTAGCATTCGCTCATTTCTGGAAAGCGTTTATAATAGTGTTGACGAACGCGACAAAGTTCAATCGATGGCATATATAAAATATTTATTCTAACATATAAACTTTTTAGCTACTTTAATAAAAATCATAACGAGAATAATGGACATTAACCGGATTTCACGAGCGCCACATTACCTGACGAGGATCCTACGATCGTAACTGACAACGATCTGACGTGACGTGGCGGTATCAAAGTAAATTAAATTAATTAATAGAAGGAGAATTTTGTATAAATAGAATGTGAAATGATGTAGGAATGAGAATAATTAATTTAGGATATTAAATAATAAAACAGATATTACTTTCTTAACTACATACAGTCCTTACTGTGAACATTGATCTCGTAGTAATTCTTAATTTCGCACAATAGACAGACTAGTTACTTCGAGAAATCCACGCTTTTCTCGGCCAACATTATTGGTCAATCTATGCAAATCCATCGATGAAACATTTGAGTATACCAGAAGACAGTAAAAGAGATGATAATAGGGATCCTGTTATGCTGAAAAATGTTGGCCCTATTATTTTTAATTACGAAATGAACTCGTGCATTGAATGAAAGAATATATTGATGTATGTTTATTGTTTTTTAATTGGTAATATACTCTTTTGGTATTATCATTACCGATTAGATCAAAAGATGAACTTTGCAGAATATCTCCTGTTAAATAATTGCTATGTTAGCATACTGAAGAATGGATTATTTATTGATTATATTTTATTACTATTTTATTATTTGTAATCTCACAATATGCCACGTGGATCAATAAGGAAATCAAAATAACGGAAGAAATTTCTCTTATATGCATGGAAGCAACTTTAATGATCGATGAAAAATACTTTTAACTATATCTTTTGTTTTTTTCCCTTTATTTATATATGAATGCAACATTAAATATAATATGAATCAACAAATAATGAATGGGAAGAGAAAAAGAGTCAATTCTTGTATGTTTTATTAGCAATATATAGAAACTAAAATTTTTACTCAAGTTCATTGCGTGCATTGCAAAAATTGAACGTAATGCTCGATATTTTCGCGCTATAATAGCCAGAAGTCGAAGAGTTTGGCCTTTTCTACGGCGTTGCATCTTTTTGTAAATGGTTATTACGGTTGCTAGAGTATCCTTCAATTATTTTAACTTACCATTTACACTCTTGATTTTCTCTTGCAGACTCGTGATTGCCGCATATAAAATCATCCAAGAAGAATGCGTAGTCAAATGTATCAAAACGCACTCATTTGATTGGCCAAGATTTTCCTTGTGTTTACAGTAACACATATCGATATCGGTATTGTTGTTTTTGCCATTGTTCCTCTAGTGTACATGTACATGTACTAGGTGAAAATTATATACATGTATTTTTTCTTTGTAATGTTAATTAACGAGCCTTCTAAGAATAATTTCAATAACAGAGTTAATCGTATTAGCTAGCAGTCTACAACTAATAAATTTAATAAACTAAGTTGTGAGTCATAAAATTTGAATGAAGTTGCAGCTGAAAATTATAACATTCCTATTTCCCGATATATGTTTCCTCTAATTGGTTTTTAAAGTTTAGTTTGAAATATATTATTTCGCAGTCTCGGAATCAGTAATTGCAATTATTTAATAATAAAAATTCGTATTACAGTTAGAACTAGATATAACAATGGACCGGCCCAAACTCAAAAAGCTTGTTATAATGAGTGTTACATAGAAAATAGCTATAACAAGTGCATTTATCATAATCGGGAATTTGGCAATAACTAAATTTCCTATATAAGAGGATCGTTATTCAATTTGACTGTAAATATTCATATAAAATATAATGAATTCAGTCAGTCAACCATTATATCGAGAGACTATATTCTATTGGTGTTCGAAAAAAAATGAATAAAATAGATCACTTTGAGATCTTGAGTGCTTCTTTGTTTTTTAATTCTATCCAACCATCTCATTTTATGATCGTCTTTTTTTTATTCTATCCATTCACATCATCTTGATGCAACGTCCTTGTTTTTTATTCTATTCTGTTTTTGTCGTCTTTGTTTGTCGTCTTTGTTTTTTTATTCTATTTATTCATCTCATTTTGAGATCGAGTTCTTTGTCTTTGTTTTTATTCTCTCATTGTGATTGTCTGTTTTTTAACTATCCAATCATATCATTTGAGATCCGAGTGCTACGTCTTTGTTTTATAAAATTTATTCAAGGTTAAACAGTTGTAAAAGATGACACTGTTTTTTCAGACGTTGCATGTAACTACATGTAATAAATAGGCAGCTTTAATTGAACTGCTTTAAAATTTTGCATATTTCATAAGCAAAAAATATTCGTGTAAATATTTTTACATCACAATTGCATATTCTTCAAAATGTGCATACCTAACACCTGACTATTTGAAAAAACTTTGGTCTTTTAAATATCGCTAAAATTTATGGTCTATCGTTATCATGTTAAACCGAATCTCTAAAATTAGTATTTTAACGTTGAGCATCTGTTTTTTTTTTTTTAATTTATGGAAGGATATTTTACAAGCTAAATCTTACTGGAACATTAGATCATCGTTCCATTGAGAATAGTCCATTTGTTCCATTGGCTCTGTACAATCACTGGACAACAGTCCATTGACAACACTGCCTGACATCGTCTAAAATTAATCTTTCCTTATTTTGCATACAATGCACACTTCCAATGGGAAACTGAAGTCATTCAGATACACATTTGTCATTGTCTTTGGTTTGTTTAATTTGTTATCTGAATTTAGCTTTTTTTCATTATTCGTTTCATTGATATTTTTAAATGATTTGTCAATAACAAAAGAAAAAGAAGATTGTTTAATTCGGCATAGTAACCAATTACCGGCAGATTTTCCACTACTTGTTCTCCAAAATAAGTTAGGATATTTTGCTTGTAAAAATTACTGTCAATGGTAATAATCAGTGACGAAACTCCATAAATCCCCTTGAACTAAAAAGGGCGCTGTTACTAATTGTCAATGGTTAAGGTATCCTATCCACGTGTAATACAGAAGGCTAAATATGATGTTCATTTTTAACCTTAAGGTATAAAAAAAGAAAATTAACTTTGTCACTAACTATACAAGTTTTTTTTCTTACAGCACTTGTCTTATTATTCATCATAAACCAGTTATTCTTTTTATTTTAGAACCTTAGCGCATAAATAAGCCACGAGAAATACAAAGACAGAAATTTGAGTTCATCACCTTTTTATTTGTCTCAGTCTTTTAAGATACATTATGCAAATGCAAGTCAAAGAGCGAATAATCGTCATTGAACTCATGGCTGTCTTCGCACATATAAAGAAAGGACAAAAGAAGAGTCAAAAAAATAGTTTTGCTATTAATTGATCATAAATTGATTACTTAAAAAAGGTAGATAATTACTTTATATTTAATTAGTATACTATTCATACAAGTTGCTCACTAATAATGAAATAATAACAAATCAAATTAGATATCATTCTATTTATTAAAATGAATAATTACGAATATTTGTCAGAAACTGAAAGACTACTTCTCAGTCAATGTCCCTATAATCTAACGCTCACAATTGAAGAACTAACTAAACCTTCTGCGAAAAAACACGAAAATCCTGGCAAGCCACCAAGACCACAAAATAGTTGGATTATTTTTCGAAAAGATTATGAAGCTAACATACGTTTACTTAATCCTGACGTCAAACAAAATGTTATACATACTGCGAAGGGATGTAGTGTGAAATGGAAATCGCAATCAATAGAGGTCAAGAATTTTTTCAAAATATTGGAGAAAATAGCTTGCAAGAATCATGAGCAAATATATCCTAATTATAAATATAGGCCAAAAAATGCAAAAGATTCAAGCTATAAAAAATTTATTTTTTGGGAACAGAAAAAATATGCATTTATTTCGACCAAGTCTAGTTCAACAAATGACAATTCATTTCAAGAAGCAGCAGAAATTAATGCGTCGACTTCCTTAACAAATAATATGACAAATAATTTGTCCAATTTAACATCACCAGCAATTCATAACAACTTAAGCATAAATAGTGTGACTACTTTACCTATACTAATCAATAATTTTAGCACATTCTCAAATAATCAATTTATTTTTGCTTTAATTCCGATAAGCACAACACCGTTTATTTCTTCACCCTCATCACATGTTCAAATATCTATCCCTGAATATCTCACTTATAATTCTACATATATGGCTGGAAATTTGTCAAATTTCAGTTTTGATGATTGTGATTCTTTCACAAATTGATACAATCAGTATGTCCAATATTGATAATTTAGAAATTTTATCCATTCAATTTTAAAATTTTCTCTCAAACACTAGAATACACGATGCATATAGATTCTCGCAACAATTTTTAGTATAAATAATGTATTTTGTTCTGTTTATTCACTTTCGCTGTTCTTATGTTCCTTCGTTTCGTTAAATTTTCTCGTTCATTAGCTAAATTTGAGTTTGACCTCGAATGCATAATTAAATTGTTTATATGAACTTGTATGAAAACGAAAATGTGCTCCTGCATGATAATTTCATTGCAAGTTAATTAAATTTGATTGTGCAATATGTTACATTATTCAATTGAAAGCACATAAATTTATCATATTTTTTAGAGATCGTCATCAAAAAAGATATTCTAACGCTACGTAACAGTAATATGATGTCTTTACCTTACTTAGATGTCTAAGCTAACATCTCATAGTCGCTTTGCTATAGTAATATAGTCGTTTTAAAAATCGATTATATTAGCCATTCAATTCTATATTATATAAAATAAATCATAAATTTTATTAACTCAAATTCGAAAACGCACAATGATTGAATGAAGAAATTGATGTAAATAGCAAATTAGCTTTCAATTTATATAAATCACAAATTAGTAATGTTATAAAGTCAAAAACCACTTATTACAATGAACAAACCAATTCTTTGTTGCCTAACAACGGGTTAAGGAGCCGGACATATCGCATGAAATTTGAAACAGAATTTCAAATAGTTCACGAATCGAATGCTTTTCATCTTCCTAAAGATATGGGACTCAAGAGCTTGATATATGCTACGCAGCTTATTGCTTATTAAATTTATAAGATGTGTGTAGAATACATTTTTAATTGCTGGTTAACAAAGAAAAAAAAATTTATTTTAATAGTGCTATTTTTTCCAAGCTAGAGAAATGATCGGCCAAATTGAATAATAAACTTATACATGTAATATTCACTACGTAATTGAGGCCAATAAATGCGTAATCACACTAAATTTAAAATTATAACGATAAGGATCTCAATTTTGTGTATGCAGATGAAATCGATACGTATACGAACAATACCGTAAAGTGCTCTGTATGGTATCTCCCTCTTGTAAAAATTTGAACCACAATTTAGTCCAATTTTTTAGTAAATCCGATTATTTTTTTCCACAAATAATTAAATTTAGATTTCACTATGCGATTTTTTAAAAAATTAGTTACTGGTTTAATAACCTTGAGGTTAGATTGAGTTTTGAATTTTCTACAAAAGGGGATATTACGTACGTATACAGAGCGCTTTACGGTACATGTACATGTACGTACGTATTAGAACAGTCAAAAATATTCCCAGTTTAGGTGACAAGTATCGGATAATTATTTTAGTTGATCAGCAGCATATTTTTTGGGATTTTGTCATACATGTATTTTATGCATGCAAACATCTTTTTAAGTGTGGTGCATAACATCTACGTACATTACGATATAACGACGTGCAGATCCCATTGTAAACAATATAAATTCAATAGAATCTGCACGTCGTTATATCGAAAGTCGACTGTATACGTATTCATATAACAATTTAATGTATCTTTGAACTTTCAAATTTGATAATTTTAACTACGTAAACCATAAAAATGACAAATTAGGTCAATCTTTATCACTTTGCGGCTTACTTTTTTGTTTGCATAATTTTTATTAGAATCATAAAGGTTTAAAATTATTTATTCATAATTCGGAACACTAATTTATTGATCTTTTATAATCTTGACCAAATTAAGCAGAATTTAAGAAATTTTTTGATCCAATTAATATAAATTTTTTCAGCCTAATATTAAATTTCTGATGACGTAATATTCTCTCTTTCCCTTTATTTGTATATGCGATTTTCTGATAATGTGCAATTTTTGATTCCTTATACAGTATACATGCAGCATTATAAAATAATAATGAATGTGGTTTGTTTATTATATTTTAATCTCAAAAATTAAAATAATTCAATTGACTCTTGTTATAGTAAAGGCATCCGGACTATTAGTAAAATTTTTCAAAAATTTAATATATTGAGAGTTTATTAATAAATTTACTATAACAAGAGAATTTATTATAGACTGTTTTGGACTGAACTTTACTATATCAAGGTTTAAATTAGTCTTTACTATAACAAGTGTTTACTATAACGTGAGTGACTTGTATCATAGAAAATAGGCGATGAAATCAACTATTATGCATCTTTGGTTTATAAATTATTTTCATGCAAAAGCATGTGCGCTTTGCTAGTCAATCCAAAATTACTTATAATCCGTATCATGCATAGTTACGTCCTATAATTTAAGCTCCAAAAAACAAACTGCAAATTTGTTCTTTAGCGTTCATGCGAATCTTTTCTTAATTTATTGAATAAAATTTTTTCTTCAGTAATTATAAAAATTAAAAATTGAAGATTATTTTTATCCAAGTTCATTGCATGTGTTGCAGAAATTGAACATATCTATAAACACATGCCTTAACCATAGTAAAAATTTCTGAAACTAGTACTTATTCATTTTTATTTCATTAATCACAATAAACTAGAGAATAGCTATTGTAATTCCGCATAAACCACCTCACTCTGTAGAAAATTTAAACTACAAGACTATTAATTAAGTAATTAAAATTTTAAGAAATTACACGTGAATCTTAATTTATTTAGTTTGCTAAAAATAGTTGGTTTTATTAAAAGAAAGATTGGACCAAATTAAGGTTTAAATTTTCTACAGAGGGAATGGATTGTGCAGCAAATTACGGTATCTGTTTTAATTGTTGCACTTTTGTTTAAAAAAATATTGCATTAAAAACGAATCAAGTGCCAAAAATGTCCGATAATGTTCAACATTCGAAAACTTTAACAATTGCAAAACATCCACACAACTAAATTCATTGAACTTTTTTTAATAAATGAGCCTAGCTTTCAAGTTTTAGTTTTTATAGTTTACTTACAAAACACTGACGTATTGTTTGAGAAATTTAAATGCGAACTTCGTACATATGTCTATCTTCACAATCAAGCATTCAAATTCTTTATTAGCTTTGATCTTTACTTTTAAAAAAAATATTTTTTTGTTTTATATACGGTTCTGAGTAATACCTAAAAGATCTGTCTTATAAATGAAAAAAATTGTTAGTCTATGGAAAGACAACAAAATGATAATTGAATGAAATAAAGACAGCTATCAAAAAAATAAAAAAAATCAAAGTAAATATTTTTAAAAAATTAAATATAGCATCAAATAGAGCATGTTTTGGTGATTCTAATTTTATGATTTATTCAATATTAATATGTGAATTTCTTGAAAAATTCTTCAAAGTTATTGAGTACAAAAGTAAATACTTTTCGAACATGAATTTTCGCAAAAAAAATATTTCTGAAAGCTTAGAATTGGGGATTCAAATAAAAAACTAATTCATTGGTTGTATTAAAAATGTTGTTACTCTCATGTTCTCAAGTTGAATTTAATTCACAATGAGAAATTGGTGCATCATGTGTTAATAATTTTCTCTTTTTATAATTATACTTGATGATTAATAAATATTTCATTCTTCTTATAATTATACTTAATAATTTATAAATATTTTTATTATATCATCAAAACTAATTTATAATATGATATAATAATATTATTAGACAAGTATTTTTGTATATTTGATTAATTACAAGAAAAATTGAACTAATACAATTGTTTTGATTAATATAAATATTATAGGTAGATTATTAGTATTTATTAATAAATTCTAATAATAAAATAATTATTAATAAATAATTCTTCTCTTTCTTAATATTACATATATTTACACTCAGTAGTCAATTTTATTCTTCTCTAACTCTACATATTGTTATAAGTTTGTTTATTAATCATTAAATTAGCTTATAAACTTGAATCTGATTTGAAAAAGAGTAATAAATTGATAAAAATATTAAAAAAAAGAGAGATATCTAAGATTTATATCAATTTCTACAGAAATTGTGTTTACTTATAAAGATAATAATATAAAAAATTGTGAAATAGTAAAGATAAAAAGAGAAAGATAAATTAAATATAAAGAAATAAAATAATAAATAATAAAAGAGATTTGAAAGACTAATTTTCTGTACTTGTATAAAGTTTTTAAAGCTAAGATAATTTAATTAGTAATAATAATAACAAGACTCTTTTACTTTATTTATTTTATAAGTGAAAAATATTTATTAATAATTAAAATATTTAAAATTCAATTTCAATAATTCTAATATAGCAATTTGTTTATTATAATATAATATAAATATAAAGTTTAATAATTCAATAATAATAATTTGTTTAATATAATACAATCTAAAGTTTAAAGTTAATAATAGTAATTTGTTTAATATAATATAATATAAAGCTATTAGTAATTTATCAGATATAATATAAAATAACTTATACACAAATTTTGAATATATAAAAAATATAAGAGGTAAAAAATATTTAAAAAAAGATTTTTGTTAATAGAAATTTTTATTTTCATTTATGACATATCAAGTTAAGACTTAGACAATATTTTTATTTATATATTTTTAAAAATACAATTTCAAATAATAATAACTATTAAAAAGATAAAATGACTATTCAAAAATTAAATAAAAGAAAATTAAAATTAAAATTAAAGATAAAAAGTAAAATAAATAATAGAATTTTTATTATTATATAAATATTTTTAAATAATATGTATTTTTTTAATTATTTTTAAAATTAATAATTTTTATATTATTATTATAATAATAAACTTATATATACTAGTCAATTTTATCATTTTTCAACTTTGCATATACTTGCTAGTCAATTTTATTCTTTTATAACTTTGTATATATTTATATTTTCAAAAAAAATTTTAAACTTATAAAGATTATTTAACTAATAATTAGTATTTTAGAAATTTAAACAATTTAAAAACTATATAATATTAATTTAAAATGAGTTAAAACAAAAATATAAAAATATTTATATTATTACTTATTTATTAATTAATTAGAAAAATTAAGAATTAAAGAAAGATCTTGATTATTATTACAAAAATATAAAAATATTATATTTATTAAAATATTTATATTATTACTTATTTGTTAATTAATTAGAAAAATCAAAAATTAAAGAAAGATCTTGATTATTATTAAGATTATTAAGATATTTACCTTCAAAATCCAGATTCAATAGTTATATTTATTATCAAGATACTCAAAATTCAGATTTTAATAGTTATATTTATTATTAAATTACTCATCAATAAGATATTTATAACAAAATACCTACTATCAAGATATTTACTATTAAGAATTAACAATTCATTTTTTTAGTGAATAATCTTTAAAATATAATATATCAAGCTCAAGAAAATATTAAATTATTAATTATCTTTATTTATAAGCTTAAACTTATTTCTTGTCAATTTAGAATGATATTAAGAAATTGATAAATATTAATTAAAATAATATAAATAAATATACTTTTTATAAAAAAATTAAATAATAATATGTGAAAAATCAAGAAGATAATCAGATAATTAAATAAAAGAAAGATCAAGAACTTTTATCTAAAGTTTATAATAAAAATATTTTTATTTATTTATTTTATATCAAATTGCAAGTGATTTTGATAATTAATTCAAATATATATATAAATATAAAAAATAAAATTTAGTATTAAATTGAAAATTAATATAAAAAAATATTCTATTTTATAAAGATATAAATAATTTTATATTCAGTAAACCAAATTAAATAATTTTATATTATCAAATTTATCAAGTCAAGATATACTATTACAAGTTTGTTTATTAATTATTAAATTAGCTTATAAACTTGAATCTGGATTAGAAAAAAGTAATAAATTGATAAAAAAATTAAAAGAAAAAGAAGAGATATCTAAGATCTATACCAATTTCTACAAAAATTATATTTATTAAAAGAATAATAATATAAAAGAGTAAAGATTAAAGAGAAAAGAGAATATAAAAGAATAATAAAGAAGATTTAAAAGAGTAATTCTTTGTACTTGTGTAAAGCTTTCTAGAGTTAAGATAATAATTAGTAATAATAATAATAAAACTCTTTACTTTGTTCTTTTTATAAGTGAGAAATATTTGTTAACAATTAAAAATTTAAATAATCAAAAGTAAAATGCTTATAATTTAATTTTAATACAATGATTGTTTAGTATAATATAATATAAAGCTAACTAATTTAATAATAACAATTTGTTTAGCATAATATAATCTAAAGCTCAAAATTAATGATAGCAATTTGCTTAGCACAATACAATATAAAGTCATTAGCAATTTGTTAGATACAATATGATATAATATTACTTATACACAAGATTTGAAGTGTATAAAGAAAATATGAGAGGCAGAAAGTATTTGGAAGAAGATTTTTGTTAAGAGAGATTTTTATTTTCAAAATTACTGGCTGATAGTAGAAAATATACTTATTGATCAAAATTTCTTTGAATATAATATATCAAATATTCATATTATTTAATAATTCTCTTTCAATTTTTGTTAATAAAAATAATAGTAAGATCTAGATTAAAAAATTTATTGAAAAATCATATTATAATATTATCAATTGAATTTAATAATTAAAATTTTATAGTAATCTTTATAAATTTATGATAAATATTATTAGATTATTTTACTATTTAAGATATTGCAAATCTTTATGAGTATTATCTAATAATACATTTTATTATCATTGTTATTATCTTCAAATTGAATTATATTTTTAGATCAAGTTATATTTTTAGATTCTTGAGTTTTTATTTTCATTTACTTTGAATAAAAGTTATTATTTATTAATAAATAGATTATATTTATCATAGCTAATAAATAGTCTAGCAAATTTCAAATTTATTATTGAAATAAAATGCTTGTTAAGAAATTAATATTTGTAAAGATATAATAATATAAAGAAAAATATGCTTTTAAAAAATATATTATGATAATATATTTGATTTAAAAAATTTTTATTGTAATATTTATATTATCAATGCATAATTTTATTTAAAAACAATAGTAAGCAATTAATAATATTATCATTTTAATTTTCTAATAATTAATTACTGAATAATAGTAATTATATAATATTATAATATTTATTAGGTAATTTTTATTAATTAAGGATCCTTCCTGATAATATTTTAACCAATCAAATTAGACTTATAATTATACTTGATAATTAACGTCAAAGCATATTTGTGGAAAAATTGTGATTTTAAACTTAGCAAACCCGCAGATATGGAAAATCGATCACTTTAGGACTCGATATCTCAGCGATCTGATTCGTGCGAAAGATTCGTCTCGACTAGACGGATCAATTATAAGATTGATAAAGACCAAATAAGTCAGTGTTGTTGTATCGGATGATTTTATTCATTGTGTTTCGGAATTTTAATATTTAAATTAGATCGATTTGAGTTTGGTCTGAATTAAAGAATAATAAATTAAATTTATGGTATTCCTTTTAAAAGATTAGGAAATTTATATCTATGAAGAAATGCTCGCAAAGTTGCCTTCATCGGATGATTCCTCTTATACTAGATCGAATCATACGTACATTGAGTGTAGAACGTTGTATATTCAAATTTCAATTAAAATTTGGAGTAAAATTATTGTCTGAAAATCCAATTAGCATTTGGACTACCAAAATTAACAATTGGCTGATTAATACAAAATGCATTTGTAATATCATAACTTATTAATTATGCGAGAAAAAATTCACTAGAGTAAGATATTCATTAATCAAGCTAGATTTCATTAAAACTATATACATGTATATAATTAACTTGTATTGGATCTTTATTAAAATGCGAGATTAATCAATATTGTTAAATCACATAATCATCTTGACTGTATTCATGTATTATGATCACATATCTTTCTATTAGTTAGTTTCATATATTGAACTGTTTGGCAGAGAGAAATCCTACTCCATAACAAACCAAATATTCCAGAACAAAAGAGATCTATTTTTATAATATTGATTTTTATCTATCACGGTAACTTTTGTAAAGGTAATACCCGCAGGTAAATTGAATATTTTCACTTTGCAGATCAAAATTTTACACGCAGACACCTGCGGAAAATCAAATAATATATTTGCGGAATTCGCATGTGCAGTTCTTGGCAGCTTTCAATTACAATAAATCATCCAATTCCTATTGAAAATGCATTGAAAGCTTCTAATGACTATATCCAATAATAAAAAAGATTTGCTTGAAAGCTTCCGAGAACATCACCACTGCGTGTGCATATAAGATTCTAGTTGTGGAAATTTGAATCAACTGCTTCCACAAGCCAATTTTAGACACTGAACCTCAACAATATTTCAGTCATTTCGTATTAAAAATAAATTAGTCATCGATAATTTGGTCCAAAAAAGCAATTTAATAGTAACTGATTCTCCCACCAAAGTAACTACGCCTCTTTCTTCGCTGGACACCGATCCTATAAGAAAATATGCACGTAATATGTCTGTAAAAGACGCGTAAACGGTCACTTTTTACGTGTGTTTTACAGACATATAAACACGTAAATTGCGTTGTAAAGTCTGTTTGTCCTACATTTACTTATCCAATTACATATTCATATGTCTGTAAACACACGTAAAAAATGACCACTTACGTGTCTTTTTCAGACATATCAGATTTTTCGTAGACATTTACAGGCGTGTTTTTCTTATAGAGTGAATATCAGTCTCCCGATGATTTAATTATTTTACGAAGCATAATGATAAATTCACAGTACGAATCAATCTGACACATAGTTTATATACCCGACCTAATTTTTTTACAGGGCATGGAATTCATTAAATCGTAGCGAATAAATTATTTGTGTAATAATTTTGTGTAATAATGTTGATTGTTAAATATACAATTTGCATTGCATGTACCTCTCCACGATTTCTGAATTAACATCCAAAATGTATTGGCAGATTTTTTAATAATAGCGTGTTGGTATGGTATTATCCTACGAAGTATACTTTAAATATATTTCTGTCTTTAGCGTTAGTTAGGAATGGTTTGGTCCGGTCCAGTCTTTTAATGAGCATTTCTGGACTAACCGATAGTAAAGATGGTTTGGTCCGGTCCGGTCTTTCAACAGTCCGATTTCCACAAACCTGTCCAATCATACAATTACCATTAAATAACAGTATCGATTATGCAATAAAAACGGTTGTTTTCACAAGATAATTAACAGTATTTTATTGTGTTGGACCAATTTTCATGTAAATAAAACTGATGATCTTAATAATCTAGACTGGACCACAGTCTTGAGTTGGACCAAATCATCACTGGAGTTAGTTTAATTTCCATTCAGCAGATTTTTTTGTAACATGCGAACAAAGAAAATGGTCATATGCAAAGAACCACGGTTATCATACGATACCAACTTTATATGTAATAGGATCCTTCTTTGTGCCCTTGAGTTCTGTGTTTCTTGATTCTAAACTACCAAGCATATTACAACAACACCTGCTGCTTTATATAACCTCATTTCTGAATTGATAACACTTATACCAAGTATACACTCATAATTCACAGATTAAATAAACTTGAGTTTATTATGTAGTTGACAAGTCTGAATTTCTTCGGCACCTACTGAAACATAGAGTATTCTGATAATAGTTTCAACATTTTTTATGATTTTTTTACAAGAAAAAGGATCTATGCTTGTAAAAGATTAGTTTTCATTTCAGAATTTTTCATAAATACCATAAATAGCCATATAAAAGACCTCTGGGTCTGTTACATTCCACGGTCCACCCAAGAGTATATTACACGGAATACGAACATCCACTGTATAAACATAATTTTTCTACTTTTAAAGAATAATTACATTATACAATATATGGCCATTTACGGTAATAGCATTTGGAACATGTTTCCAAGTTTTTGTAGATGATTTTTTGCAAATTTTGTTTTCCCGCTCTCTTGCATGTATTTTTTATTACGTAGTCACTTATTGGAAAATACATGTACATGTACGTACATGTATCATTACGTATCTACGTATAAAGGATTAACTACATGTAATACAAATCGAAATGTTCAATTCTATACTAACGCTAATACAAATGTTTAATAAATAATATACATGTAGTTAAGAAATGTGATAATAAATGAGAGATAAGGAATATACATTAATGTCATTGAAAAAAATGTTCATTAAGAATTTCCGAATTTTACAACCATATTTCGCTTGTCGAATATATTAAAATCATTTAAACTAAAGACAAATTCAAATTGACTTGGCTGTAATTTTAGTTTCTGCTCTTCGTTTTGCTGCTCTATAAAAGAACTTTTATTAATTAAACCCAAATCCCGTGTTAACTTCAATAATTCGTCGATGCTCAACGCCGAAAACTTACTTTCTTTAGTACTCGGTTTATCAGAAATCTGTTTCGAAGAGTTCTGAATGATAATGGATTTGGTTAAGGTATTTACCTTTTCTTCAATTATGTCAATACATGATTCAAGAATTCGAATGACTTCTTCGGAAATTTCGTTATCGTTGTTTTCGATTTGGGAATTTTGTTTATTGGATTTTGCACGTCGTCGTAACGGGTATGAAACGCCACGTACTTGGAAAATTGAACGGCGGCCAGTTGTGTCTATTTCAGAACGATCACGTCGTCGAATTGCGGAAGATATGGTTGTGTGAGAAGTGGTAGAAGTTTTGGATTTTGAAGCAGCCATTTTTCTTTTCTTGTTATTGCTATTGTTGCTGCAATAAATAGATTATATTCGCTATGACTATTCAAGAATTTATTATCGCGAACTTTTTTAAATTGCTAGATTCCAGTCCTCGTATTTATATTTTTTATACAATAAAAAAAATTTGCTATCGCTCCGTAATTTTTCCGTAACGAACTACGTACATGGAATAAATATGGACTTAAGACTAAAATGGACACAATGAAGTACAATGAACACGTTTTTTAAGGATCTGGTACGACATCCCGAAAACCATAATCCCGACAAGCCATAAACCCGACAAACGAAATCCCGAATGCACAGCATACCGACAGCACGAAATCCCGAATGAACAGCATACCGACAGCACGAAATCCCAAATGAACAGCATACCGACAGCACGAAATCTCGAATGCACATCATGCCGACAGCACGAAATCCCGAATGAACAGCATACCGACAGCACGAAATCCCGAATGCACAGCATACCGACAGCACGAAATCCCGAATGAACAGCATACCGAAAGCACGTAATCCCGAATAAACAGCATGCCGACAGCACGAAATACCGAAAGCACAGCATACCGAAAGCACGTAATCCCGAATGAACAGCATACCGACAGCACGAAATCCCGAATGAACAGCATACCGAATGCACAGTATACCGAATGCATGAAATCTCGATATTTAAAATCTTAATATTTCACTTCATTAATTCATTGATATATCTGGTATTTCGTCCATTCGAGATGCCGTGCGTTCGGGATTTCGTCCATTAGTGATGCCATGTATTTGGGATTTCGTGCATTCGGGATGCCGTGCATTCGGTATGCTGTGCTTTTCGGGATTTCGTATATCGTGCTTTCGGTATGCTGTGCTTTCGGAATTTTATTTTTCGGGCTTATCGGACTGTGGGACGTGTGAGGAAATTGGTCAACAAAATAGTCGAAATTTGAATGAAAGATGACATCAGTAACATAGCTTCCACTGAAAACCTCCATGCTCTGACGTGTTTGATTCCTGTTCAACCGTTGGAGTCTACTTATCGCATGAAAATTACCCTCATTATACTAATAAAGACAAGTGGTAATTCATTGATAATTATTAGTTTCTTTCCCCGTATTTTTTAATTTATCATATACAGTCGCCGCAAAAAGTAACGCCCGATTTTTTTAAAAAATGAAAGTTTCGATTTATTTCATTTATAAAAAACTTTTTTTTACCATTAACTAATACATTACCCACCCTCTATATGGCTTCAATATCACCTCGATTACTTACGGCATCGAG